TCTGCTTCGAGATGCCAATGTTAGAGAGAGCGTGATCCACCGCCGCTTTACTGTGGAAAATTGCCCACGTTTTCCTCCGGAACCCGGGGGTCGCCCCCCCCCCCCCCCCCCCCCCCCCCCCCCCCTCCCCTCCTGCTGGAACCCCTCCCGCCCCCCCCCCCTCTCCTCCGGCAAAACCCCCCTCCTCCCCTAACCCCTCCCCCCCCCCCCCTCCCCGCTCGAAAACCGGGGGGGGTCACTACCGGTTCGAACCCCCCCCCCCCCCCCCCCCCCCCCCCCTCCGGATCCGGAAAACCGAGAGGGGTCACTACCGGTTCGAACCCTTCCCCCCCCCCCCTCCCGCTCGAAAACCGGGGGGGGTCACTACCGGTTTCGAACCCCCCCCCCCCCCCCCACACACACTCACCGCCAGCAAACGACTCCCGGTCCCCACCACCGTCCGCATCACATCCCCCACTGGTGTTCCCAGCACCACTGTCCTCACCACCGCTGTCCCCACTGGTTCCACCACCGCCCCTACTGTCCCCACCAGTGGCCCCACCACTGTCGCACTGTCCCCGCTGTCCCCAGAACTGTTCCCACCGCGGTTCCACTCTCCCCACTGTCTCCACGGCCCCAACCACTGCCCGACTATCCCCACTGTTCCCACTGTCCCACTGACTCCTCCGCTGTCCCACTGAGTTGTCCCACTGTTCCCACCACTGCCCCCACTGTCCCCACCGCTGTCCCCGCTGCACCTTTGTCCCATTGTCCCACCGCCGTCCTCGCCACCGCCTTCACCACTGTCCCCACCACCATTGTACCCTCCACTGTCCCACTGTTTCCACCTCATTCCCATGGTCCCCACACCGCTGTCCCCACCACCACCGTCACCACCACTGTCCACTGTCCCCCCCTGTTCCCACCATTGTCCCCACCACTGTCCCCACCACTACCGCCCCCACCACTGTCCCACTGTCCCACTGTCCCCACCACTGTCCCGATATCCCCTCACCACTGTCCCCACCAACGCCGTCCCCACCACTGTCCGCACCCCCACTCGGTTTTCGGGGGGGGGGGGGGGTTCGAACCGGTAGTGACCCCCCCCGGTTTTCGAGGGGGGGGGGGAAGGGTTCGAACCGGCAGTGACCCCCCCCCCCTTTGCATGATGAGCTGGGGGGGGGGGGAGGGGTTCGAACCGGTAGCGACCCCCCCCGGTTTTCCGGAGGGGGGGGGGGGAGGGGTTCGAACCGGTAGTGACCCCCCAGGTTTTCCGCCAGCAGCGGTGGTAGAACACGCTCTTTCCAATGTTAGCGTTCGCGAGCTCCCCTGCGCGGGCGTCGCATTCCAGCATGCCTTTTAAGGAGTTGCGCTTGATGTTCTCGTCAGCGAAGTCCTCGCTGGGAGACTCCTGGATGGCGTGCTGGTTGTAGGTATCGATGATGCCGTTCTGCTTTGCCTTCAAAGACTCGATGCGCTCGCGGTCGACACGCGCGAGGTGTTTGCTTTGGGCCTCAATTTTTGCCGAACCACAACATTGCTATCAACTGGTCTGCTGTGCCGATGATCGTAATACTGGCAATCGTATGGGTGGCGATATGCTTGGACACGCTGCGAAGATGCCGCAGGGTCTGCTTTGCGCCCATCGATGTGTACTTCGACTGCGCGTCGGAATAAATGTTGCTCATCCTTTGTTTTGTCGCATGCCTGCACATTCGACTCTGCGCGACTTCGCGGGGGCCATTCGCGCGAGCTCTGATGGCGAACATTGCCACGTGGTGCATCATCTCCGCCGGCGGGAGCTCGTGCTCGCATGGCGCCTCGAACGCGCGCCCGCCCACCAGGCGCCCAGCGGGCGCGCGCCCTGACGCGAACTGCACGAGGTCCTTGATGGGCTGTCCCTGGATGCCCCCACCGTATTTCTGCGCGAAGCCAGCGCGTGCGTCGATGCCATCGGCGCACGTCGACTCCGACTTGCTCACCTGGGCCGCCACCCGATTCCAACCGATAATGGACCCGCCGCGCCCTTGCTCGGATGCAATGGAATGGATGCGAAGCAAGAGCTCGAAAGGCGTTTCTTTACCCTGCACCTGGCCCATTGCCTGCGTTGCTGCGTGGGTCGAACCTGGAAGATCTGGCCAACGCCCCATCCGCCTCCTTCTTCGCCACCAAACACCGCAACGCGGTTTCATGTTTCAGGCTGTTTATATTTGCGCTGTGTCTGCCCCGCGTTGATGCGACCGTCGCCGTCGCCCAATGTTTCCTCCGACGTCGGAAATCTGTCCACGCGAGCCGCCAGGAGCTGATCCGCTTGCCCGGAGCTCACGTTCCCCGACAGTCGATTCGGGCGGAGGTTGCCCACGCAATTCCGACAATCCCTGGAACTCCTGGGCATATTATGCAATCGTGCCGTTCTTACTTTCGACGCAGACAGGACCGCGCGTGGCTGTCCAACTGAAAGGGCCCCTCGCAGTCTTAGCCACAAGCCCGCGCGCCTCGCGAGCCTCGAGACCCAGGCCACATCCGTTTGAAGGGTGGGCGCCTACTGGGCGAGGTCTTAGATGCAGCCACGCAACCATGCCAATTGCAATGGGCTTCCCGAGTGCCAGCTGTCCACTATCTGACGTCAACGCCCGACGGGCGCGCCGTCTGACGCCAACGCTTCCGCGACGAGGGCGCCCAAGGCATCGGCCCCGTCCGCGACGGTCGCCATCGCGCGCTCGATATCGACGCCTGCGCGGGAATATCGACGCCTGCGCGGAAAAATCGATGTCTCTCTCTCTCTCTCTCTCTCTCTCCCTCTCTCCCTCCCCCCCTCTCCTTCTGCATGTGGATGCACCCCCTCTTTCTCTCAGTGGATGGCATCTCCTCTCTCTCTCTCCCTCGTAGGCATGGGTGCGAACAGTTCGCGAACGCCCGGCGTCTCCGCCGTCAGCGTCCCCGCTCTGCGCCTCGTTTCTCTCTTGTCTGCGTCGCGACACGAAAGAAAATGGGAAACAATAAATCATAATGGGGCTTCAACGGAACTATGATCCAGGCGCATCTCCGTCGCATGCGCGCTTTGCAGACGAGCGCGGGGCCGCTGCAGCATCTGATGCGCCGCAGCTCCGGGCCTCCATCGCTGCATCTCATCGCAAAGAACCCCCCCTCTACGTAGCCAAGGGGGTGGGCCGCGGCAGCAAGAGCCGCCATCTTCAACCGCGGAGCGCCCGCCGCTCGCGGACGGCCGCCATCTGCTGGCGGGCGAGAACGGTAACGTCGTCAGGCTGTTCGGAAATGGGTCCCTGATGTGGCGCGTCTCCTCCTGCACTGACCGCAATGACCTTCCGCCGCGAACGCGCTGTGCGAGGGATAGTCGGCGCCGGCTGCAAGCCAACGAACACTCCGGTGACGAAGACCAACGGCACGATGCAAGCCTGCTCGAGAGGGTTCGCACGCTCGTGGATCACCGACCTCGTTATACTGAGTGGGCTCCGCTGGCGGGCAATTGCAGTGCACCTCAGGCGCGCGATCGGGGCAGGCCGGCTGATGCTGGGCCCAGAGGAGGAGACCGTTGGAGACCCCCCGGGCCAGTTCGGGAAGAGCGCTCCCAACGAACTGCGTAGGCCGGGGCCTGCTTGAACCGCGAGGATGACGGAACGTTCGCCCCCGCGCGGCCAGCTGCGACACTACTCGGCTTGTACAGATATACATACATGTATACATATGTATGAAAGTGTTTATATGTGCATATATATATACATATATATATATATATATAGATGTATGTCTATGCGTTCGAGGACTCTCTGGCGCCAGCCCTCATATATTCTCGTTTCTCCAGAGCAGACCAGAACGCATCGCGCTACTTCGAGGGGCGGGGCCCCCGCCGATCATGGGGCCGCGCAACTGTGAAGCGCCCCAGCATAAAGGGATGGAGGCGACTTGACCGGGCCAGACGCGCGGGAAGTTCGCGCGCGCAGCAGCAGAACGGAGCGCTCTGCATCGGCCCCCTTCCGCCCGACCCCTCGCAGAGAACGCCGGGCGCGCCGGGGCAATCTATGCTTCGGCAGACTCTCGGGCGCCAGCCCTCCTATATTCTTGTTTCTCCAGAGCAGACCAGAAAACATCGCCTGCGCGATCTTGGCCCGGAGACAATTGCCGAGAGGCCTTTCGCCCAGCTTCGAGGGGGCGCCCCCCCGAACAAGCGCAAGATCAAAACCAGCGAGCAACAGTCGAAGCTCGCGAAACTTCTGCTGGCCGCTTGGTCATATCTTGACTGCGTTCGAAAAGAATGGTTTCGAAGAGCATGCATATATGCTTGCACAATTAGCTTGCGCGTGCCTGGGGTCCGCTATTTGAGTCCAGGGCCGCCCAGTGGGACCTCTGCGAGAGAAGCTACGAAACCATCGACAAACGCAGTGGGCCTGCTCGAGCTGGGAGAGATCGAGGTGGCAAGATCGGAGCCTGGTCCGATTTCTCGCCAGGGCTTTCCGAACGCACAAATCCGGCCAGATTCCACAGCCAGGAAGTGGCAGGATCCTCTAAAGCCACGAGGGCCATAATGGGGCACCGCACAGAACGAAAATACCAAAATCAAACGATCGAGGGCATCACTTCAAATGATGTTCAAAGCATCAGCAGGCGAGCGGCTAGGGAGGCCAAGGTGGAACTCAGCGTCTCAAATCCAGCCTCGAATGAGACCCTGAACGCGTCGGTTGAGAGCATCTGCATTCGCACCATGGATAATGTCGAACTCGAATGCGGCACAATATTATGTGACAGGCAAACGCCATGCACTAGGCAAGTGGCCGCTGCCTGAGCATGCCTCTAACATAACAGGGCTGCCGCGGGCCGTGACGAAGGCGGCCAAGTCGCGCAAAGGACGTCGCCGACCGTGGCCAGCGCTCGACGCGCCAGGGCCTGCGCGGCAGCGGGGAGGGCGCTCAGCTGCTCCTGGATGCACCCTCCCTTGGCGCGCCCCCTGACCGCCTGGTCGGTGGCCCACCCCCCCTCTCCTTGACTTCGCCCTGGGCGCGCGCCTTCGCCGGCAGCTCGCGGCTCGCGCCGCCGTGGCGGAGCTGGTGGAGGGTGATCGGCCCTGGCGCCTGCAGGCCCGCCGCGCGGGTCGCTGTCTGGAACGCGGTGTTCCACTCGTCGCAGCTCGCATGGAAGAGGGACTGGCTCGCCGGGCGGGTCGAGGTCAGCTTCTGCAGCGGGCCTGGCAACCATGGGAAGGCTGGACTGTCGATCAGCAGAGAGTCGTCGTAGACGCCAGTCTTGCTAGCCACGTCCCGCTCGCGCGGGTTCAGGGTCGCGCCCCAGACGCCCTGTGGCCACCCGTGCAGCGCTGACGGATTGATCAAGATGTCGGCGGCAGCAGCGGGGCCTCGGACGGCCGTGGGTACAGCGCGAACGTCACCGCGGTCAGGGCAGCGATCATCGGCTCGCCCGCGCTCGCCAGCGCCCGGATGATCAGGCAGCACGCCGCCCAAGGGAGCGGCAGCCTCGACCTTGGCGGCACCAGGCGCCTCCAGCCCTTCGCTGCGCGAGTGGCCCGAGGTAGGCCTGAGCTCTTCTCGCCCACGTCGAAGCCCTTGAAGGCCAGAGCCGCGAACAGCTTCCGCGCGTCGGCCACGTGGAAGCAGACGGCCAGGGCAGCGCCCAGAGACGCGGCAGTGACCGCCGTCGGCGCCATCATCTTGGCCCAGCTCGCGAATGCCTGCGCCAGGCGGCGGCGGCCCCGCCTGGTAGGTGCCGACGCCGACTCTGTCTCCAAGGAAGACGCGGTCTGACCGACGGTCGGGGCGATCTCGCGACCGACGCGCTGCCGCCTTTGCAGGCGCCGCGCGGCGCGGCGGTCGCTCTCCTTCGCCGCCGACGTCCGAGGCGGCCCAGGGCGGGCCGCAGCCGAGCCCCGGCGGGAGCTCGAGGCCGGGCGGCGGGGCGCAGCTAGGCCTCCCGGGGGCCCTGGGGCGCGCCTCCCGCAGCCGGCGCAGCGGCGCGGCCTCGGCCATCAGCGGCAGCTCCTCGGCCCGCTTCGGCTGTCAGCCCGGGCAGGCCCGAGACGCTGGGCCGCGCTGCCGGGCCCCGAAGGCAGCCGGCGCCAGGCGACGCCGCAGCCGCTGCAGAGGGCCAGGATGGCGATTAGCCGACAGATGCGCCGATGCGGAGCTGGTAACGAAAGCCCCTGGAGCAAAGCGAGCCGCGGCGCCGTCGAGTCGCCCGGGTTAACGCGCGTCGCCCCGAAGTCGCCCACCGATCGAAGGCGGCGACAGAGACAGCGCGCAAGAGCCCCACCTTCCAGAATCGCCCGGGCTTCCACGCGACTCCAAGGCATAGACAGGACACGCTTCCAGACGCCGCCCCAGACCTCCTTCGGAACGCCCTTGGAGGCTGCCTCCGGGGACCTCGGGAACCTCGGTATCTCGTGGGGCCCCAGGGGCTCCGGAATCTCCGGGGGCCCCTCGACCCCCCACCTCGTCGGGCCACCCGCCGACGTCGAGAGCCCGAGGCGCGGCCGATCTCTCCGAGCCCTTCCCGAACCGCCACCGCTAGTTGCACGGCGACAGCTCGACGGCCGCGTCGGCCTCGACGACCTGGCTGGCAAGCCGGCCCCCCGCCGGGCGGCGCCCGCGCGAAGATCGCGCTGCTGGGCCAATTGGTCGCCCCGCATTTCTGCGGCGCAGGGCCGCCGGAGCACTGCGCCATCGAAGCTCACGACGGACAGGCCTCCAGCGATAGGAACCACCCGGGGCCCCGCAGTCTCTATAGGCAGTTATACACCGCCCCCCAGGGCGCCCAACGGCTTTCTCTAAATAGGACCACGAGACGCAAAGCATGGCGCGACTCGCCCCGGGGTATCTCTGGAGCACCTGCGCTGATCTACAAGATGCTGGATGCCGGGGCGGAGCCCCCATCGAAGACAAGGATTCGAACCGATGGCCCCAGGGGCCGCGCGAGCCAAGGCCGCGACGTTGCCAGCGTACTCGGCGCGGGCAAACCCCGGCTCGAGGCCAGGCGCTGGCAAGCGATCCACAAGGAGTTCATGGGTGCTAACTTCAGGAACACGTGCGCTGATCGTTTCATTGATGGTCTGGCATCGCCCCAACCCATCGGAGGGCAACGGAAACAATGTATAACTTTCTGGTTGGACTTCACACGGGCGCCGCAGGCCAGCTCGTAGAAACCGAGGTCGCCTGCGCGGGCTGGCGGATGACCGAAATATCTGCAAGTGGGATGGGAGCAGGATGTTATAGAAAGGCATCCGTACTGTTCGAGCCTGCCACGGCGATGGGCGCGCCCCCATCGACGGCGACCTGACTGAAGGCGGAGCCCGACGCGAGCTCAACCTTGTCAGCAGTGCCAAAACAAAGTGATGAGTAGCGGCCATCTAGAATCATCCGAAGATCCCCTGATTTCTTGCGTGCGCAGAGAAGCCCGGCGGTGCGCTCGCAGGACAAGTGGAAGCTGATCAGGCTGGCGCGCGGGAGCCGCTGCAGCACTCTCTCGCGCAGCTTGGGGTTGCGAAGGTTTGGGTCCACGCGCAGACGTCGTGGCCGCGCAATTCTCGCGCGCTCCAGCCCCTGCCCTCGGGGAAGTTCCAATTCACGCAGGCGGTCGGCAATCTTCTGGCCCGCGTCGCCCGCGAGCACCCGGAGCGACTTGCTTGGCAGCAGGTAGCGAGGTGCGGTCGACATTGTCGAAGCCAGCCGGAGCAGTCGCCATGGCCTCCCCGTGGCGCGCCTGCGATGCCCGAAGCTCCGCGAGGGCCCCGGGGCCGTCGAGGTCGGCAGGGGGCTCACCGAACCGCTTCGCAGCAGACTCAAGCTCCTGATGCACCTCGGCGCGGCCAGCGAGCGGCGGCCGGTCAGGGCTCTGCCGCGGTAGGCCAGCGGCGCCCTCCGATCCAAGATGCATCTCGCTGAGAACCCCGATCAGCTCATGAGCGGTGTCTTCTCGGTGTCGGCGCCGATGAAGCCGCCCAGCAGACCGAGTGAGGGTCGCATCGTTTGGGCGAGCGTTGGGAGGTAGGACTGAAGATGGGCGGCGAGGAATCGGGAGCATGTCGCGCTGGCGACGCGCTCGAAGACCATGAAGGGGGGGCCCGTGCACATGCTCAGCGCCCCCCGGGAAAAACGGCACAGCCCCCTGAGCGACGCCGGGCAGGTCGGGGGAGCCCCTGTCGGGCGACGCGCAAAATTGTCCTGAGAGGGCGCGGCGCCCCTCCTTCGACTCTCGCAATGCCTCGAGGATGCCCGCGCCCCTCCCCGCCGTCGCAGCCGCGTGCTGAAGGTGGCCCGGGCAGGCCATCATCCGGCCGCCCTCCTTGGACGTGCCCGCGAAGACCGAGGCCTCGCCCGAGAAAGCGAACCTCGACAGGCCGCGACCTCGGCCGCGACGCCTCGCCCTCTCGCCGTCCTTCTCGCCATCTCCGGGGGCCAAGGGGCCGGCATGCGGGCCCTCGGACTCCATCGCGTACATGTACTCATGCAGCTGAGTCTGCCGCGTCGCCACCTCCACCCCGACGAAGTCGGGAAGGTTCACGTGGCCCCAGCAGGCCAAGATCTCGATCATGCGCATGATACTCTCGTAGCGCGTGGCCCCGTAGTCGTCGTTCGTGAGGTGGTATAGCTCGTTTTGAACTGGCTGAAGTGCTCCAGAGGTCCGCCCCGTCGGCGGTCGATGAACACGCAGCGCCAACCAACTGTCCTCGGGCCCTCTAGGGGCCATCCGACCTGCTGAGTTTCAGTGAAGCGTGCCACCGCATCTCTGAATTGCGAACGCTCGCGGTGCCCGTCGATTTGCACGGGCAAGCCAAGAAGACGACAGTCGAGACCCGACTCCGCGCTCGCATGCAGCGTCAAGTTGATCGACGCCTTGCAGATGCAGATCCAGCCCCCGGTCACCCCTGTTCAGCTGCACCACCGCGCCGCGCGCGCCCGCTGAACTGGACTCCATCATGACCCACTCGGGCGCCGCGGGCGGGGCGAACGTCGCGGCGACGTCGCCAGCGCCAGGCGCCCCAGCGGAAGGCGCGGCCCCCAGGCAAAGCGCAGGCCCAGCAGCGGCCGCAGGAGCTGCGGCTGGGGCGACGCCCAAGCCAGGCCCCTGGGCCAGTACCACGCCAGCCAGGCCCGCCGCTGCAAGACCCCCGGCGGCCGCGCCGCCATCCACAGCAGCAGCACCAGCGCCTGCTCTGGGCGCTGCGGCGAGCGTGAAGTCGAAAGCCGACCGCGAACCCGACGCCGGCAAGACCCCTGCACGGCCCGCCGCGCGCTCCCGCGCCATGTAGGTCTCGCCAGCGACCTGGTCCAGCGCAGCTCACACAGCGTCCACCTGTCCCGGAGTCAGGGCACGGCGGAACCGATGCACCTAGTTGGCGTCGAGCCCTGCCAGGTCCCGCCGCGCTGCCGTGCACCGAATGGCCAGCACGACACAATTTCCTCGGCTGTCGCCCTCCCTACAGACGTCATGATCTGGAGAGCTAATGAGATAGAAGTCCTCATCACTCTGACCCGCCTGTGGAGGCGCTAGCTGCCCACAGATCCGGCGCTGGTGCCAGCGCGGCCCGCCGACGTATAACATCCACGCCCATTGACGTGGGCCGGCGGAACGACCATTCTCGATAGCCACAGGCGCCTTGGGCTGGGTCAGACGTCCAAAAACGCGCCGAACTCCTCGACTTGCGACGAACCACAGCAGCTGGATCACCACGAAAGCGAAGTGGAACCCCAGCGCGACGAGGTCGACCAGCCCCTCGAACCACCCAGAGCCCGAGCTGGTCGTCTCGGCCTTCGGCTCGCTCCGCGCGGCCTCAGGCTCGGCCGCAGCCGCCGCCGCCCGGGGCGGCCCAGGAATCGCGGCCGCGGGCGCCTCGAGCAGGCGCGGCGGCTCGCCTCTACCTGCGCCAGCGCCGGCCTGCAAGGGGCACGTCGGCGTCGGGCACTGCAGCGATGGGCACTGCGGGCAGGTCACGCTTGCCGGGCAATCAGGGTAGCTCAGGCTGTGACAGCCTGGGCACGGCGGCGCCGCGGGGCACGGGTGCGCACGCGACCAAAATGCCACGAGAACTTGTGAGGCAGTGCTGAACAGCAGGGCGAATCTTCGAAGACCCTGCATATCGAACAGCCGTCAAACTTGAGCACACGTAGCAGCAGAACGGATCATGCTGCATCGGCCCCCTTTTCCGTCCGACCCCTCGCAGAGAACACCAGGCACGCCAGTGCAACACATGTGTATATATATATATATATATATATATATACAGATGTGTGTGTATGCGAAAATACACGTATGTTAACATGTGTGTGCGATGCCGCAGTATATACCAAAAATCATACGAGTACGATATAAATAATACCATGTATTGGCAGGCATCAAGGACTTACACCGACCTACTAATTCAGGGCAAAGTCGCCTCAGTAGATCGACTAGCTCGACTTAATATATCGACTTCATAAGTCGAGTTACCTCGGTTTAGTAAACCGACCAGGTCGAGCCATAACTCGATCTACACTTCGACTTATAAGCCGGCTTCCGACTTAGCTTGTTGCTTACATCTAGACTTAATAACTGACCTAGGTCGACAATCTAAGCCGATCGTGTTAAGTCGGCCTAAGCAGACGTATAACTCATTTGCTAAGTCGATCTAACTGCTTAATAATTTGATGCGCAATAATGATATCTAAGATATAAGCCGCGGTTCATGGCAGCAGGGCCCTGGCCCCCTCGGAGGTGTTTCCTGTCCTTCCCTCGGTCCAGGGTTCGAAGGAGTCGCGTGGCCCCAGAGGGCTCGACGCTGAGCGAGGTTTGTTGTTCAGGCGTTCGAGGGAAGAGGCGGCCGTACAGGGTCAGGCTGCTCGAGACGCGACAGCGGCGAAGGCGTCAGCAGCGGCCAGAAGCCTCTAAAGACCCCGCCCCCGACCCCAGCGTGCTGGGGTCGTTCCCCCCCTGTTCCTTGCATGTGAACGGGGTCGCCCCCGTATCAGTTTAAGTCTGTGCCTCGTCGCACCACACGGCCTATGTGTAGGGTGGGCTGGGCTGTTCCCCCGAGACTTCACCACTGATTATTACCACGAGGTTTGAAACTTCCAACACTTACACATCACATTGTATGGATCGAAAGCGAACGGTTTTCAAACATGACTCTCACTTCAGTGCCGTGCACTTTCGCGTGCACAAACTTCGAGTGTGCACACGGTAGAAGGCCGGCTTGCTTTTAAAATGGGCCTCTCGCCCGAGGGCGGCGCATATTCGCATTAAAAGCATCAAGCCATCACAAGGACGGAGGGCGACAAGTTCCCAACAAGTCGCCCTTGCTGTAGCGCCGCGCACACGCGGCAGATGGCGGTTTCTTTTGCCAAGTAGGGTTAACGCCTCAGCGGAGCCGCGCACATCGGCTGTCACCGGCGTCTTAAAGGCTGTCATCGGCTACAAGGGTGGGCGGGGGGGGGCGATACCTTTTCAAGACTGGGCTCTCGTTTGGGACGCCATAGGAAACCATAGCCAGAAATGAAAGAAAGGAACGCAACCATGTAACAGGCACACGGGCTGGGAGTGACAACTCAACAATGGAGCTCTTGCTGGACAGGGCGCCCAAAGTTCAAGGCGACACTTCATGTAGACAAAAACATGCTGCACATATTCATAAAGAGGGGGCTTGGGGCGTGCATCCTGGGTTTAATATGGTCATCCTCCTCCTCGCCCCTCATCGTACTGATGCACCCCCTCTTCCTCCAATTCCCTCTCTCTTGCGCTTCCCCATGTTTCTCCTCATCCGCCTGCTGCTCCTCATCGTCAAACCCTTCTCGTGATCTGGTTACACTCCTCTCCCTAATCAGTCGTCTCCCTCTGATGCAGAGAAATGCTGAAGTGGGTGGCCGATCGGCTTCTCATGTGCTCCCTTCCAGTTTGCCCCAGACGAGCCAACAAACATGCAGTGGTATGGTAGACGGCGATGCGAGGGTGACAATGAGGAAGGAGAGGCTAATAACGAAGAGAAGGGGAGGAGAAGGCTGCGAAGATGAGGGGGAACAGAGGCAATGTGCATGGCCATTCCTGCGGAATGAGGAAGACACATATTGTGAGTTAAAGGAAGCGCCGCAATACGATGATGATGAAGAGGGGAAGAAGGCGGAGCAGCAGGGGGACAAGCAAGAGGAGCAGGGACAGGAGGAGCAGGAGGATGAGGAAGAGGAGGAGGAGGAGGAGGAGGAGGAGGACCAGTCTAAAACCAAGAGTCACCAACGATGTTGGAATTAGCCCTCCCTCCAAGCTCCCTCTTCATAGGCCCCCCCCAGCGGTTCATTTCCTTTGAGGGAACTGCCTCGTTGGAGTACATCGGTTTCTGGATTTCCACGCCACGTATCAACCTGACTGCTGCGTCGTGAAGATCCGGAATCGTGCCAGAGTGCCCTTTTTGGGCACTTCAACACCGGCATAATATTGAATCCTTCCAAAACACAATTTCTGGTACGTTGATCATGGAACTCTTGCAAAGTTTGAAAACGAATGTGCGCGGCGCTAAGGCGAGAGCCACATTTTGAAAAGACCCGTGAAACTCTTGCAACTTTTTAGGACGAGTGTGCGCGGCGCTAAGGCGAGAGCCACATGTTGAAAACCACCCGCCCTCAATCCGTGCAACTCTTGCAACATTGTAGAACGAATGTGCGCGGTGCTAAAGCGAGAGCCACATTTTGGAAACCAACCGCCCTCATCCGTGAAGCTCTTGCAAATGCTTAAAACGATTGTGTGCGGCGCTAAGACTCAATCCGTGAAACTCTTGCAACTTTTTAGGACGAATGTGCGCGGCGCTAAGGCGAGAGCCACATTTGGAAAACCACCCGCCCTCAAATCCGTAAAGCTCTTGCAAATGTTTACAGCAAATGTGAGCGGCGCTACGGCGAGAACCACATTTTGAAAACCACCCGCCACCCATCTGTGAAACTGTTGTCCCTTGTTAAGCTTCTGAACCATAAATGGTGAGGGAATCTCAGGCGAAACGCCCAACTTGCCCTAAAAACTGGCCCCGAGGTGCGATAGGGAGGAGTTATCTATGAGGAGAAGGAATGGAGGAGGAGGAGCAGTATGACGACGAGGAAGGGGAGGAGCAGGAGAAGCTGGAGGAAAAAGGGGGAACCCATTTGAGACATCGGCGGGACTCCTCCTCCTCTCTCTCTCTCTCTCTCCTACTCCTCCTCCATACAGTTAAAGCAGCACCGAAACCGACACCGAAACCAGAACCTCGAAACGGGGAGAGCACCTCAGGAAGCCCCAAAAAGCCTCCCAAACCTTGATTGTCGAACGACGACGTCGACGACGATTCTGATGAGGAAAAGATGGACGATGCGGACGAAAGCGAAACTGCCTCTTCTTCTAGCCCTTCCGAGGTCCCTCCATGCCTCCCCCTCTTTCGTCCTCGGCCTCCCTTCCCCCCTCCATCCCTCCCCCTTGCTTGCCACCCCTCCTCTGCTACCGAAAGCACGGAAGCGACTGCGACGACAAGGTCGTCGTCGTCGGCTCTCGGGGGCGGCCTGCGCCTCTCGGGCGGCGCGGCTCCAAGCCGAGCCCCCGCAGCGCGCGGGCCACGGGCTCCACCTCCTGGCGGCTCATGCTGCTGCTGATCCTCTTCCTGCTGGGCTGGGGCCTAGGTGCCTCACCCCCCCGGCACTCTTCTCTCGGAGGAATTTTCGAGGACTTCCGAACCTGACCTGACCTGACCTCTTCCTGCTCCTCCCCCCTCCCCCTCCCAACCTCGCTTCGCAGGCGCCCTCGGGTCCAGCCACAGCGTGTCCGACATCGGCAGCAGCAGGGAGCCCGCACTGGCAGCGCTGTGGGTGGAGCCCGGCGCCCTGCTTGCAGTGCACTCGGCGGCTGGGCTGCCAACGGGCTGCCCTGAGCTGCGCGAGGTTGCTCGCATGCTCAGGGCGGCCACGGACGTGCTTCGCTCGGCAGCGGCCATGGTGGCCAGGCCCGCCCCTCCCGTGCCGCCTGCAGAACCCCCAGCGGAAGCCGCAGCTGCCCTCTGCGGCGGCGTCGGCCCCGCGCCGCGGCGGTAGGGCGGGCGAGGTGTGGGACGGCGAGCACGGCGCCGACGCAAGCGACAGCATAGTCGTGGAGAGCATGGCGTCAGCGCGGCTGCTGCGGCGGCTGCGGCCCCCGTGCCGATGCTGGAGGACAACGGGGCCCTGCGAGCGGGCCAGAAGTGCCCCATGGCTGCCGCGGCGGCGCCGGCCTCCGAGACCTGATCGACGTGGCAGTCGACGGACTGGGCTTGGCTCACTGGACCTAGCTTGACTCACCCTCCAACGCGGAGCCGGGTGATGAAGTGCAGGTCCCGGGCAGGAGGGGCCGCTGGCCCACGCCCCCTGCGCCTCTATGAGCGCGGCGGCAGGCCTAAGCCCGTCGCGCTCCAGACGCGGGAAGTCCTCTGCGAAGACATGCCGCCCTGGCGGGGCCGCGCGTCCCTGAAGTGCAGGGTACCGCCCCCTTGCCCGCTCCCGGTCTCTCCCCGCTTCCTTCTCTTCCTTCCTTCGTTCTGCCCTCTCTTTGTCCCACCTTCTGTGCCGTGATCCTCCCTGCTTTCGAGGATGGTTGTGGACAATCTTCGTGTTTGGAATGTTGCTTGAACCTTGCTGGGTTGCGGCTGCTTCAAACACGAAGGCTTCCCATAACAGATCGGGTGGTGGTACCTTGCGCTCCTAGCGGGTGTGCGGCGTCGATGGTGATGAGGCGGCCCGGGGCAAGTTAGTTCCCCCTCTCTCCGGCAGAGCGCTGGCGGAGAAGAAGCGCCAAGGCAAGGGTACATGTGATCGGTGAGAGCCTCGAACCAGACAGCCTAGGCGTCCTCCTCAGAACTGTGTCTGGCGACCTCATCCTACATCCACCTCCTCCCTTGCTTTCTCTTCCTCCTCCTACCTGCTCCTTCTCCTCCTCCCCCTAATTCCTCCACCTCCCCATACCTCCTCCTGTCGCTGTCGCTGAGGGCTGGTCGATCCACGCGAGATCGGAACTCTCTTTGCTCCTCCTCCTCCTCCTCCTACTCCTCCTCCGCCTCCTCCTCCTCCTCTTCGTCCGGGTATGGGGGGGAGTGTCCCCTGCAGGCCGATTTCGGGCCTCGGAACAATAACACAAACGGCGCGGGGCGAAAAAACTACTTGGGAGAAAGGGTCGAGACGCGAGGCAGCCCACGCGTCGGAAACATCAACAAAAAGAGGGCAGGGCATGGAAGGAAAAAGGACGGCGGGCAGAAAGTCTGCTTCCTTTCGTTCACAACCTCGTCCTCATTCTCCTTCACCTCAGAGTAATCACCACGACCACCAAAGCCACCATCATCATCATCATCATCAGCAGCAGCAGCAGCAGCATCCTTATCATCATCACCACCACCATCATCAGCATCACCACCACCACCACCATCATCATCACCATAAGCATCATCATCATCATCATCATCATCATCATCATCATCATCATCATCATCATCATCAGTTTCATCATACGCATCCTCATCACCACCATCGTCATCATCATCGTCGTCGTCATCGTCGTCGTATTCGTCGTCTTATTCCACATCAGCATCATCACCACCATCACCCTCAACATCGTTATCACTATCATCACCACCACCATCATTGTCATCATCCTACACTATCCTCAACCACCATGATCATCATCACCATCACCGTCACCGTAACCAGAACCATCACCATACCATCATCTTCATCAGCATCATCATCACCATCATCACCAACATCAACATCACCACAAAGACGCATCATGATGATACTCACCGTCGTCATCATCATCAACAACAGCATCATCATCATCATCATCACCATTATCATCATCATCAGCAGCATCATCATCACCATCATCAACATCATCACCATCATCATCATCATCATCATCATCACCATCATCATCATGATCATCATCAACAGCAGCATCAGCATTACCATCGACATCACCATAATCAGACTCAGCATCATCATCACCATCATCGGCCTCCTCCATGACGCCTCCACCGTCAAATTTCTTAGCTGTTTAGCGCCGCCGCCGCCGCGCCGCCGCCTCCCGCTACGACCGAACCCGATTATGCATGCTCGCTCGCTCGCTCCTCCATGCGCTCGTTCCCCCTCTTTCACTACAGCCATCCCGTCACGCATCCTCCCTCATCCCATGGTTCCTCCCACAGATGCCTCCCATGACGTCTACCAAACTTCGGTGTCACCCCATTGATCGATCATCCCTTCCCACATCATCCTGACTCCCGTTCTTCCTCCTCCTTCTCAGACACGCCCCGCCACGTGCATACTCCTCCAAGTCATCGCCCCGCCTCATTCCGCATCCTTCCTTGCCCTGTCCGAACTGCGGTCGCTGCCACACCAACTTACGTACCCTCGAGAGTGGCTGCCCGTGTTGCCTGAAACTTCACCGCGCTTTATTCAGGGCTGGAAGGAGGCTCATTCTTCAAATATGGAAGGGCTCTCGCCTGAGGCCTGCTTGCACTTCAAATGCTGGGGGCAATGCGTGCTTGTACCTGTGTTCCCGCATGGGACTTCCATTCAAACGGCTCCAGGGATGGAGGGCGGCTCCTTTTTAACATCGAGCTCCCACATCGGTGCGTACACATGTGCTTGAAGTTGCTGCCAGATGCCGTGCATGGACGACGATCCCCTCTCAACAATAGAAAAGAAGAATCGGCGGTCGGACACTGAACATTCACATGGTCGGACATTCCTATGACCGCGTATGCGCATTTGCAAACACATGCAACTCTCACAGTGCAGGCGCATCGCCATCTTGCCAGCGGATGATGCACGTACAGAAACTGAGCACACCTAACTGATCTAGCACACGAGGAGAGGACTTTGGACGGGACGCCATCACTCTGAACACACTGAGTGTCAATGTCAAGGCCGCGGTGTTGGCGGGACGGTGATGGTCTGGGCCGCGCACTTGAAACATATTGTGCTTGCTCAGCACTAGGCGTCGCCGACGTATGCCCTGGCGGGCCGCGTGTGGCAGCTGGTGGGTACGCGAGTCGCAGGAATCGGACGTGCCGCCTCTGAGATTATCTCCACCCTGCGGTCAGAGCACGGCCTGGCCTGCGCTGGCCTGACTGGAGCCCTCCTCCATGCATGGGGGTCATCGGCAAGGAATTTCGACCGTCAGAGCTGCGGGCTGCCTGGCAGGCCTGTGCGTGTCGATCGGCACGAGCACCACCAGAGGTCGCGGCTCTGGGAGGCTTCCATGGCGTCGGACCGGCGCGACAGCCCGAGCTGCACACAAGTGCCGCCAGGGTAAACCCACGGGCGGGAGTGAGCGCCATGAAGATGATCGACACAAAGGGCGAGGATGCCTGCCACTGCGCATGCATCCTCATTGGCGACTTCTGGTCGGACGCCCGGTTGGCCAAGACTCGAGGGGTGCCCATCCCTGTCTGCTGTCGCTGCAGAATGACATATGGGTCTGCCCTTCCTTCGACTGATTGCGCCGCTGCGCGCCCACGCCGACGGCTGAACTGACACGCAAAACAGCATGGCCGACCAGGCAGCTCGACACCCGGAGCGACGTCAAGGACTTCGAGGCCCAGGGCCAGTACATGGCGAGCGTACCGTACGCGTATGCACTTCGCGGGATCGACATCAGATGAAGCCGCGGTTGGCGCGGCGTGCAGCATCGACAGCACTAGCACCAGCACCTGCAACAGCAGCACCAGCGCAAACACCAGCACCCTCTCACCATCACTTTGAACTGATCTGCGTGCAGCACCGGCAGCCTCAGCACCAGCACCAGCAACACCATCAATAGCACCAGCAGCAACACCATCACTAACTTGAGCTGTTCATCTGCACCATGTCCTCGGTGGGCTTACGTGCGGAATTGCGGAGAAGAAGTGGTGAAAGGCGGGCGCTTCTCGGCTAGAGTAACGCACCTCCGCAGCGCAGGAGTCAGACCCACCATCTGTGGAGGACGAGGTAGTGGAAGAGCGAAAGGCGGGCGTTTTTCTGGACGAATGCGCTTCCGCAGCAGAAGAGTCTCAGTCACTATCAGCGCTCGTGGAGGGCAGGGTGGAGGCGGCGGATGGGATGGGAGGAGCCTGACCAGCGGGACCCTGCCGATCCCGTCCCCAGCTGTCGAGGAGACTGCTGAGCAGGAGGTGGGGGAAGAGGAGGATGAGACACGAGCAGCACTCAGCCGCAGCAGCAACAACCTCTGAGGCATCAACAGCTTGCTGGATACACTCGTGATGGAGGGGGAACGGACAGCAACGCCTCACCAGGGGCCACCAGCGGGGCCGCCCGCCAGATGCACCTGATGACTGCGGTCGCTGGCGTCTGCGCCGGCGCCTGCAATGAGCTCCCCTCGTGGAGTTCAGTCTCGTGCACTTGGGACGGGACGGTATGCTGCAGCATCGATGGTCTGCGTTGGGCTTTCTTTCGTGTTCTACTGATTCTCGGCCTCCTCGTTCCAGCTCGCCATCCCTTCAACCTATTCACCCTCTTCCTCCCATTTGCTACCGTTCTCCCCTTGCCCCCTCCTCTCACCATGCCGCTTCTCCCTGCCCCTCACTTCCTGAAAATCAAAAGCAGCACCGCTCGGCCGACCGAGATAGAGGGGGGGGGGCGACCCAGGGGCCCGGCCGCAGGTAACCCGTCAGCCAGGCCAGCAACGCAGCCGCCGCCACGAGCACCTCGCGACCAGGCTGTGGGGAAAGCAAGAGGGTAGAGAGCAGAAAAGAAAGCAGCAAGGAACCAGAGCAGGAGGAGCAGGAGACAGGAGCGGGAGGAACAGCCTCGAGGAGCAGGAAAGATGAGCGAAGAGCAAAAGGAGGAGAAACGGACATGAGAGGTAAAAAGGACGATGAGGAGGAAGAAGGGGAGGCACATCGTTGCATGCGAGGTCGATCCTTCCCTGCCTACAACGGCTCGGATCGGGCCTCGACCACGATCTGGCGGAGGGCGGATGCCTCCAGCAGA